CTTGCCCCACCCCTGCCTCCGTGCCTTGTCTCCCCTCCTTCTCGGTTGGAAGCGATCATTTGTTCTTTTATTAAAGTTGATAACATCCCTCGTATTGTCTGAGTGTGCACGCCAGAGAGCCGCCCCTACTGTTCTTGCCTCCAGCGTTTCGTATTATTGGTGCATTATTTCACGCATGCCCTCCTCTTTTATCAAGCGCTTTTAAAGTAATGTTAATAGACTAGAAAATTGAGACATTTATGAAGTATGGGCCGTGTTTATGAAAAAATCCATAAAGTATGACAGGGAGAGGTGAGATAAAAGCAAGGTTTTAATAGATTATGGCAAACAGGGGAGAGGCGTCAGATGCTGACAGGCACCTCCTCCGAGATCCTTCATATTTTATGGGATTAATTTTGTTGTATTAGAAATGAAGTTAAATGTCCTAATTAATCTGTTCATGCTGCATGAATACCTCCCTGGGCGTAGACACACGCACACACACTGTTTTTTGGCTAATTACTCCTCTGTGGTAATTGAGGTAGATATAACCTCTAGATGCAGGCTGAGGAAAGTTTGGGGAGGTGAAGGGGGTGTTTGATGCGGTGGTGGGTGGGGTTTGTTGAATTGTGCAAGTTGGCTCTTTTACAGTAGAGAAACATTCTGGGTGAGAACAACAAACAATAAAACCAAAGCGCTTTGCTTAATTTCTGCTATTCATCACAATTTTTTTTAGCTTTCTCATCCACCACTCTAGTTTATATTTAGCTGTCTACCCTTTGATTATTCTGTAGTGGTACTGATGGGCCTGGATATCGTCCCAAACTCATCGTGTACTATTTGTTCTCTCACAACATTTCTAATGGAAAACACTGAAATATATTTGTATGTCGTTATTAAACTAGAAATATGGTGCTGCTGTTATATGCCTCCACCAGCCAATGCAGTTTCACTCAACATGTTTTCTTTTCCATATGAGGTCACCAAGACCTTTGAACACTAAATTCTAATCAGTTCATCTTTGAGCACAAGTTACAACTGGTCAAAATTTGACGGAATTCCCTGAAGGCAGATCTGGAATATTGTATCATTGGCCTCCCAAACCTATTCAGTTCATCGTTGAGTCCAACTGAATGTTTCTACTGAATTTGAAGACATTTTTGAGGAAAATTCCTGAGATATCTTGTTGACCAGGCGGACAGACCTCCAGCCACAGCCTGTTGACTGCGTGGAGGCAAAAAATGCAAATGAGAGATGATACCTCAAAAGATGTATATATTGTGGGGTGTTCTTGCCAACACAAAGTCTGCGGTGCATTTGTGTAACCACAACTTCAAACTGCTTTGGGAGATTTTCATCATTTTAAGTCATCACTGTCTGTATCCTTAAAATAATCGGTGATAATGTAAATATTTTGTTGGTTGAAATTTACAAATCAAACAACAGGCTTCAAATGAGCAAAAAAAAAATCCCTCTCTTTTTGGTTCATGGGCAGCTCCACCTCACCATGTCCCAGCCTGACCTCTGAATTCTTCATCAAATAAGTCGGACAAAGTTTGGCTCATTGTTTTTAGACATTTTGACTCATGTAAGAAGATTATTCAAATCCCCGCACCCCGCCTCAGTACACCCCCCCCCCTTTAATGGTAACTGGCAACGTCAGATTCACTTCTCCCTGATACCTCGCAGTCCACTTTGACAATTTTCAAAATCCAATGCAAATCCTATCGTGGGCTTGTGCACAACGGTCTTCCACAATATTGACTGTCACTCACAATTAAGGGAATGAGGGAAGGGGGGGGGGGTTTGGTGTTCACCAGCAACCCGAGGCTAGCGCTGCCTGCTCCCCAAACGCGGCCCGCAGAATCTGATCAGTGAGTATAATTTCCCAGCAAACATCCCAAGGGTGAGCCACTTACCTTAACAAGAAAGAGGAGATGTTTAACAACCATTCAACTGATAGTCTTTCCATTCATAGCTGGTTTGACTATTGTGTTTGCATCTGTAAATGAAAATCTGAGGCGAACGTGAAGGACCAGGCACCATTCATTTAAATTGAAGTGGAAAATGTCCTGCAGTTTGAGACTCCTTCACTCTGAAGTTTTAGTAATTGATAGGTCAATTTTTTCCATCTGGCAACTAATAAGCGTAATCGTCTTTTATTGGTACAAATGGATTCCTGTGTAAAACAGTGGAACTGCTGGCTGAGGACACAGACCCATGCTCTTTTTTTCCTGCTGTTATGCTAATGCAACAGAATAGTTTGAAAGCTCCTTCTAAGAAACAAGTGACAGAAGATGCAGTAATAACTTTGATTTCTTTTAAAACTACACCATTACTCGGCTTTTGTTGCAATGAGATGACTTGTTTTGATATTTTGCAAGAAGAGCAGGGTGTCTGAGAGCATGTTTTGTTTTTAATGAATTGACTGATGTAATAAAAGAGTGACATTTCTTATATCTTAATTAGATCATGCAAATTGCATCCAAAATGAATGAAAGTCAAATTTGCATTAGATCTCGCAGATAAGACGGCAAAACAAAACGGCAAAAACTTTGATTCTGCAAGACTCACAAACATGTTGCCAATAATACAAAATATGGTGAATGCAACCTCTTAACACATGTCAATCAGCTACGCAACAATATGACACAATGTAAAAACAAAGCATAAATTAAACCACTGTTTTGGCCTTTATAGCTTGCAGCTTTTACCTTAGCTATTACGCATTAACATCAAATCCACCAAGACGATCCCCAGATTTGACATGATAAAGGTTAACTAATTCTTTAAATCAAGTCAGATCTGAATCTGTCAGTGTGCCAGGCCGGGATGACATTCAGTCAGCCTGCCATTACCGAGAGCTGGAGCTGAGAGATATGACAAGTGAGACGGATAGATGAATGGATGGATGGAGTGTGAAGATCCAGCATCCATCACAAGCCAATTTCTAATGCAGTTTCCCTCTACCTCCCACCCTACTGGCCTTCATCGTGGAGACCTGCTGTGGTCAAATCCTGCGGCGCCGGCGTGCCATGTTCTGTCAGTAGCCATGTGCTCCCTCTCAAACCACTGGACTCTTTCAAAATGAACGCACAGAGCTGGACAGTGATTGCTTTATAGCCATGCAAGACACTAGATTGTGTCTCATTAACAAACAAGAAAGGAAACAATTAACCAGAATAACTAAATGAAGAGAACTATCACTTGCTATTTATTTTCTCACAAAAACTCCTCTGATGCTTGAAAATGACTACATTATCTAGAAGTAATTAAGAACACATATTCATCTTCTAATCATCTCAAGTTCAGCCCGCCTCCAAACCCCCTCGGATCCCTCTTTTAATTACCAATTCTTTTCCACAGAGAGTGGATGTGGTGGGCTCCAGGTTATTTGGTCTCAGACAGCAGAATTTCAGTCTCTGTTGTTGCCAGAGCCCGGTCGCCATGGTGTCACATGGCAACAGTCACCAAGGAAAATTTGTCATTAAGACGGAGTCGGCGTGGTACTGCCGTAGAGGAGGGGTGGCACCGCGTGCTTGCTCACAGCAAGGGGGTAATTGTATCAATATGTAAAAATCTCTTGCTGTACTGAAGAGTTGTTAATACACTTTTGATCAAATTAAGTCACTGCAGCGTGAAGGAGAAGCAAACACACAGAGAGACGACAGGGTCGCTGTGCACGGCTCCGAGCAAGCAAACTCCGCTCATTGTTTCCCCAAACTACTTTGGATATGAATGATCATTAGAGGCATGAAGAGATTAAGACTGTTTTCCAGATGCAATCGCACATGCCCACAGCTGACTTCAATTTCATGTCTCAATGAGACTCTATTGAGGAAATCAAACACCGTTGTTATGTAAAAAACCAACCTGACTCTGTAGGTTACATCCCAGGAATCCAAACTGCACAAGATCCTCTGAGCTTCGGTGACACACTGGTGAGATATGCCGTCAGGCTCGAAACAAATGGCTAATCCACACATGTTCTCACTCATGGACGGATTTGGCTGCAGGATCAAGGACAGTGTGGAGGAGATGGACACTATCCTTGTTGACAGTACCTTGACAAGCATAATCCCATACAATACACACTGGGTAAACAAAGCGCCAAGCCATCCGTGCAACCACGGCCCACACTTCCTCTGCTCTGCCTTTGAATTCCACATTTTTTCTGGGCTTTAAACAATATGAAAGAAGTTCAGATTCGTAGCTTTACAAACAAGTGCAAACATGGGTACGTACTCCGTGCAATAATGTGGATACATATTTACATGTGCACACAAAAGTGATGCTGAGAACAAACTATCACACAGAGCAACAATCACGTCCATCTGAATACATGCATCTGTACAAAACCATAGAAAACACAAACACATACTAAATGCGGTTCTGTTCAGCTGCTTTGTAAGAGTTAAACAAAACAAAGTGTCAGGAGAATCACAAGAGATTCATCATATTAATTCATGACTAACCTTCCCAATATGATACTCTAATTAGCTTTTCTGACAAATTCAAATTAACACCTAACACCTTAAACCAACTAGAATGACATCTACCTCTGCCAAGGCCCAGCAGTCCCCTTCTGAAACCCCACTTAAACTCACTAGATCTGAATTTTTATTTGGATCTTCACCAAATCATAAAGATCACTCCTGCTTAAAAAAAAAGTCAAGCTCCATGAATTATTCTCTGAGAAATCAACGAAAAATGTTGAAAAACACTTTCACACATCAGTCTCACAATGTTAGAAAAAAAAATCCTGCATCTGCGCGCTTCCTTGGGCCATGCCCCACCCCTCCACAAAATTTCATGTAAATCTTTTTAGTAGTTTTTGCGTAATCCTGCTAACTAACAAACAAACAAATGCAATCAAGACATAAACTCCTTGGTGGAAGTAAATACCAGATGGATTAACTCATGATATAAATAATTATCTGTTGTTTCTGGCTGCCATCAAATTCAACCTGTCAGCAATGTACCCATCACCCCCTCCCTGTAGTGGACCTGAACAGTCTTACCCTGACAGCCTGGCTGTAGGGCCCAATGTTGGCTGGGGCCCAGTGGGACAGGCTCTGGACATGCATGGCCTCTCTCTGGTGAAAGCAGCCTTCCTGCAGCGGCTCGGTCCAGTCGTGGAGCAGACAGTCGATCTGCAGCAGCTGACCGGCAGGGAGAGGGGCCTGGACACACACTCTGCAAGAAGAAGAAGAAGAAGGTAATATGGAATGAACGCTGTAGTGAAAACACAGATTGAGAATAAAATGCTTTTGAGCTTTTCCACAACTAATACGACAAACACAGACTCAAGGTGTGTATTGTTTTAGTGCAGCTTTACCTGGCTGGAGGGTTTATGCCAAAGTGTTTCTTATAAACTGTGTTGAGTGGACCATATTCTTCCATGCTGCTCACATACAAGTGAATCAGGATAATGTCCGTAATCTTCCAACCTCTGCTGTCCAACTCACCTGGACACAGGAAACACACAGTAAAGCATATATTACATTGCAACTGGTTCTTTGAGAATCATCTTTTTAGTTTACCTCCATAAACCTTTCCATTTGTAATTCGTTATACTTCTTACTCTGGGAAAAGTGCAGCTCACAAGGTTACCATTGAATGAATACTCCCGGAGTCTGAGATGTTTGCTTGGGGGCCTGTATTCAATAGCAATTAGGGACCATGTTAAACTGCCAGGCTGTACCTACAAGTATTGCGTATCAGTTCAAATAGTCATTTGTACACTACCACGACTGCAGTTAAGGTATAAAGGACATTTTTTCTGACAATGAAAACCTTTGAAGCTGCTTTAAAGTGCTAATGGTGTCTGTCCCCTCTTTTAAAGCAGTTTTAACACATCGTAGACTTTGGGTCCAAACGCAGGCGCAAGTAGCAGCTCTCCCTACGATCATCTGAGGGAGCTTCAAGTTTGTTTTTCCTTTGCCAACATCAGCGTCTCAGACTACTTCGCCTTCATACAAAGAGGTTGTTCATTAAATATTAACTTGTTTAATATTGTCTCTGCACTGTGAAGGCTGTTCAGCTGAGCACCACGATAAACATTAAATATGCTTTTCATCTTTGGCTCCTCTTTCTCCATCAAACAGGAGAAAGGGAGAGAAAAAAGACTGCGATGCGCTGTAAAAGCCTGCACTTTTAAACTTCTGCAGGGCACAGAAAAAACGATAACCCACCCAACATGACTTCATTGTGTGTGTGTGTGTGTGTTTAGAAAGAGGCCTGGTTTGGGTTAAAATGCATGTCCTTGATTGGTGGCCAACACACCAACCCATTCTGGTGACGGATGGAGCATCTGACACACAGGGTTTTTGCCTGCCGGGTTGACAAGCACTTTTGAATAAGGATTGACTTTTCAAGCTCTGTCACACTCCCCCTCGTGTGTTTAGCTGAAACAGCAAGGAGAGAGAAAGACACCCAAGGGACCAAGAAAGATTTCCCCCATAAGATTCTGCCCATTGGTTCTTTAGGGCTTAAAGTGAAGAATGTAGTACAGTACGTCCTGTGGAGTCTGTTTCACTGAGCTGCTTAAATCACCCCTGGACAAAGGAATTCTATATCATCTCCCCTTGATCATGTCAAAGATTATTTTTTTATGCAGAGAAAACATATTAAAAATTAGTTTACTTGTGTGTCGTTCTGTTTTTGTTTTGTGTTTCAGAGACACAAAAAACTTTTTTAGCAGACTAGTGATTGTAGAAACATTTAAAAACACGTCCACAGTTCTTGTTTACTATGTTTTCCTCATCATCTCTTATACTTCCTCTCTTTCACACGTTCCCTTACTTTGCAGCTGCTTGAAAGCTGCCGTCGTCTGGCCCTCGATCCCAGGGACTTGGCTCTGAAGGCCGTTGATGCCACTGATCCACTGATATCCTCTAGAGCTTCTAGGTGAGCAGGATGGAGGGAGATCTGCAGGAAGAGATGCAATGAAATGATGAGGACGAAGGATATTAAGTTTAAAAATCCAAGTAATTTGTGTAAACAGCACTGCAAATGGTCATTCTAGTGCTAATAATGCTTGATGAAGACTGTCAGGACAAAAAAAAACAATTATATCATGTTGTATTTGTCTTCATTTATAGCCAATGAGACACATCTCATGCATTGGTGGTTTATGTCAAAGGAGCAACAAATTCAGAGACTGTCACAAATACACTTTGGAAATGACAGCTATGTCAAAGAATCACTCAAAAACACCAGCATCATGAAGCTGGCCGCATGACACAGATTCAGGGAGCACTCACCACACACAGATATCATCTGACACACACACACACACACAC